GACATTATCGTGGATTTATAAGCTATTTAAAACAAAATGTGTCAGGGGTGTTAGCAATACATTGCGTCATCCATCGACAACATTTAGTTGCTAAAAATTTGAATGTTAGATTGCATGAATCACTTCATTTAGTCATTGATGCAGTAACCGAATGCAATTGTGTGAAGAAAATGACGAACACTTTCATAAATTACTCCTTCACACTGAAGTACGCTGGCTGTCGAAAGGCTTATGTTTGACAAGATTTTTTGCACTTTTTGAGACTATTTTAGAATTTCTGGATACTAAAGATAAAATTTTAAAAGAAAATTTAATGAAGAAGAAAACAGACATCGCCTATTTTAACCGATTTGTTTACAAAATTTAATATGGTTAACTTGCAATTACAAGGCGACGGTTTAAATTTGATTAAACCAAAGTTCATCTTATCAGCGTTTCTTGCCAGAGTTAAACTAATGAAGCAAAATATTGGACGGGGCGAATTTTCTCAGTTCCCCAATTTGTCACAGACAAGCTGCCAGGAAGACGACGTTTCAACTTACGTTCAACATTTAAATGCCCTCTATTCAGATTTTGAATCTAGGTTTGAGGATATTTTGACTATGGTAATACCACCGTGGATAATTAATCCATATGGGACATAGAAGAAACGAATGTCATAATACAAGAGGAACTGACTGAACTAAGTACAAACGAAGAACTTAAGGTTCAGTTTAAAACGGATATCAGCAAGTCTGGCTGCAAAACAACATACCCGTTACTTATGCCGTATTATGGAATATAGCGAGGAAATTTTTAATTTCCTTTCCAGCGTCATACCTAGTGGAAAGGGGGTAAAGCGCTGTTACCAATCTCCTAATGAAAAAAAGAAACAGACTGGACATCATTAGCCGAGGGGATTTAAGATTAACCCTTACAAAATTGACGCCAAATGTTGATAATTTATTATTCAAGCATCAGGTTCATCATTCTTACTAAAAATATTGACTTATTGCTTATGTTACTTTATTTATAGTTTATTTTATGTTTATTGGTGTCTGACCAATAAATGCCCGCATTGGGAATAAGTGCCCGCATTGATTTTTAAAAAAAAAAAACCTTTATAGAAAATATTTTTTTTGTTAAATTATTCTGAAAATTCAAGGATAGGTACACACTAAAATTCGTTAATTTTTTGCCTATTTTTAGATAACTTAAACGTATAAGAAGCGGAATTTAATCAAACAGTAACAGTGAAATTATTGTAGAACATACGTTTATGTTATAATTAATAAACGAACTCGCTTATTGTACTATTTAAGTAAAAACTTTTTTTTATTATTTTTCACTTTTTTTTTTATTTTATCCCTCTTATTTTTTTTTCAATGCGGGCACTTATTCCCAATGCGGGCGCTGATTGGTCAGACACTTGTTTATTCAATCCTACGTATATTTTACATAACAAATACAAAATTTTATTTTGAGTAGTTTTAATTTAAATTCAATTAATAAATGTATAAATTAACATGTGTTTTTACTTTAAGTTTTTAACACTAAACTTCACTACAGTTAGAAATTTACAGGAAATCAATATCAGGTAAGTAGGGGGTCTACCCAACACGAAAAAACATGGCAAGGGGTCTACGATACAAAAAAGTTTGGGGAACTCTGGTTTAGGGCAAGGAAGTACTTTTCTCCGCATGGGGTGCTGCCGCCCCGACATTATTTATGCTCGCAGCTATCCAGAGTAGGGCTAACCGACTGATCGATGACTCTTCTGTAACAGACAGTCTCGAGACCTAGGACGGCGGGCCGTCGACGATCTGGATCTCTTCTACCGCTACACCAACGGGCTTTGCTCCTCAGAGCTCTCCTCCATGATGTCGCCTAACTTCGGGCTCTTATCCAAAACTGGACGATACGACCGCTCCCCTGTCCCGAGGATGTCGAAATTGTGGAACAATCTACAATAGGTTTTATTAACCTTAGGCAGTCCAATAGTAGCCTAGATGGGCTTCTGCCTGCGCGGCTGCTTCGGTATAATAAAAATACGAATGTGATCTTGACCTCAAGATCAGGGTCGTGTCAATCTTAAATGTTCTTCTATGTCCAGATCACATTCGAACCTGAAATTTCCAGCTTCTCTATTTCCAGTATTAAAATGAGACGTTTCCTTTGGAAATTTTGACATGACCTTGACCACTGGCCATGGTGAAGGTCCACGTCATCTTTGTATCCCCATAAACCACACATCTGTACTGTCTGACATTTTTGCTGGCGCAAATTGTTTTCGATGTCTTCATTCGACCTTGAGGTGGCCTTGATGGCAATGATCATGGCTATAGCCAAGATAATGGTCGAACGTAATATTTGCTTTTCGATTTCGATGTTAAAAAGGGAAGGGTTTATTTGAATATATTGATTTGAATGACCTTCTAGGTCGTAGCTAAGGTCGTTGTCAAGGTCACCATTATTTTGCCTCCTCGAAACCCTACACCTTTTATATGTAACTTTTTTCTAGAATGCGCAGTTTCCGAAGTATCCAGGTGATGTTGCAGTTACAGTAATCGTAAGGTCTTTTTTCGCTATTTGCCTAAGTATGTTACTATATAGTGTGTTTATTAAATATGCACCATACATTTTACAGACGTTTCTTTGAGAAATTTTAAGAGGAGACATATAAACATAGGTCCGAAAATTCTTCATTTTCAAGATAGAGGGTATTGAAATTTAAAAAAATGGTTTTTCGTAAATATCTTAAATACGCTTTACCTAATTTTGTTGTAATTTGGAAATGGTATTTATAACATGAAGGAGCTAATTTAGCCCTAACTCGATTGGTACCAGTGACGTCACGAGCGAGATCTGAACGACTATTTGTGACAAAAAAATGTACGCCACTCACTTCTGTGCAATTTTTATTGCGTCCTTTAGGTCAAGCAAATAGAAATGCCAGTTTTTTCTCTCTCTTGAGCTTTTTCATATCTTACTTAGTTTTCGGAAAAAAAGTCCAGCTTAATTGCATATCCCTGAACCACACAAGGAATACGGAGAAAAGTTTCTTTGGAAGTTATTTTTATAATTTTTTATTACTAATTATGTAGCAACAACAACAAATACTAAATAATATTACCATAACTAGTCATAAGAGAATAAGAATTCAAAATAAACTTTCGCCATATTTCTTGTGGGATCCAGGGACATGCAATTAAATTGACTTTTTTTCTCGAAAACTAGCAAGATACACGAAAATTCATTAGACAGAAAAGCTCTAATTCTATCTGCTTAATCCAAAGCACATAATAAAGAATTACACAAAATTCAGTGGCGCACAAATTCAGTCAAATTAGGGCTAAATTAGCTCCTTAATGTCATAAATACCACCGCTAAATTACAACAGAATTAGGTAAAGTATATTTAAGATATTTACGAAAAATTATTTTAACACCCTATATCTTGAGAACGAAAAATTGCGGGCCTACGTTTATATGCACTCTTTGTCTTAAAATTACTCAAGAATCGTCTGTTTAATGTATGGTTCATACTTAATTATACTGACTGAGGTAAATACCTAGGTATGTTTATCCGATTTGAATAATGTTTGGCATATATGTTCAGTGTCCCTTACTAGTAAAATGAATAAATTTTCAGCTTCATTTATCAGCAGACTGCAGAAGCTGGTTCAATAATGTGTTGAGGATCCTCGATTTCTTATATATTCATTGACACGCCTGGACATCGTGCTGATAAGGTGGTTGATATCCTGTTGGGCTACTGGAACATCATGAGTAAGAGCTGCTAAAGTCTATGGAGGGTCTTGCAAATTCAAGAGCCTGCGATCTATCATGTCTCAGACATTTTCAATAGGAGATAGGTCAGGCGATCGTGGTGGCCAAGGTAAACGGTGGATGCGATGTTGATCCAAGAGGCTAACAATGCTCTGGCAACATGCGGTCTGGCATTGCCTTGCCACAAAAAGGCTTCTCAATAAGCTATACAAAATTTAACATTTAAATGACACCGTAAGTGTATGAAAAACGAATGCTTCTTCATCACCAAACAGTACACACAGCAATCACAAAAAGTTAACAAAAAACCTGACCATTTTATCACTTGTTGTTCGTAGCAAGATAAATCGATATGCAAAAAATAAAAATAATCATACGTAGGTGTTTACCTTTTTTGTCTCCCAGTATAGCACCCTGTATAGATAAATGTGATTTCTGAAGATGGTTTAACGTAAAAAGCTGCCTGTGATAGAATGGACGCTACCAGCAAAAGCTTCCCTTATCAGAGCTGTCCAATATACGGCCTTTCTTGCGGCCCGCTCATCACGGGTCATGTATACGTATATGTATACCATATAGTATAGTATATACCTATTAAAACGCAGTAATAATGTTATATAGAAAGATTTTATAATGCGGGCCCTCCAAACTGCATTTTTTTTGAAGTGGCCCTTGGGCTACATTAAGTTGGACAGTCCTGCCTTAATAATAGATCTTTTCATTTATACCGATACCGATTCGCTAGTTTCTATTATATGCGCATGAGACAAAATATGTAGGTGTCTTTCGTATATTGTAAAAAATCTGTTAAATATTCGATTTCTCAGGGAGATATTTAATGGCTTCCCTAAATGAAAACTCGTGCCTGTCATATCCAATATTTCGTTCCTGTGCCACGCTCTTTCTTTTTTTTAATTAAAATCACTTTTTAATTTTGAGCCAAAGTTATTTCTCTCATTGAGGCAATGGATGATTAAAAAAAACTAGGGGGTTACCGAGGCTAAAGCCGTGGTTTAGCGTTGGCAAATTAGGCCCTATGCTCAGGTACACCGGAGAGTAGGGGGTATTTTTTAGGGGCGCCACCAGCTTTTATCCGCCAAAACTGGAAGACGCCTTGGTGTTGAAAGGCACCCTTTAGCCCAAAACCCCAAGAAACAAAAACAAAAATACATACAAAGAATAGATTTTCTGTGTGGATAAATAATTGCTAAAATTAACATCAATACATTTTATTACATCTACTAACGGCTAACAACAAAAATTTAAGGCAGCCAAACTAGGAGATCTCCCTTAATGCTTATTGACTAACTAATTTAAAATCGGCGAGGAAGGCTTCAAAACCGATGACGTAAGAATCCCTATGGTGCAAAAAGGGTCTCGGAAAGAGGTCCCCGGTAGAAAACGTGTCAATGGATCTCAGTAGCGAAGATTCCCCCCAAAATAAAAAACCCTAGATGATGTCGGGTCACGTGGTTCCGTCTAGCGAAAAGTGCGGCTGAAGACAATAAGATCCTACAAATTGTAGAATTTCTCTGGTCCAAGGGTAGACAAAAAAAAAAGATGCTACGCACACAACAGGAATGACCCAGGAAATTATCTATGAAATTTTCTTCCACAATCCAACGAAGATGCCCCTGGCAAAAAGGAGGAAAATTTCAGGTCTTCTGGCACTAGCGGAACAGAACAAGATGGCCCTCCGATAGTGGAAGGAAGTCCCCTCCCAAAATTTAGTTTTTTCGACTTGACATTTCCAAATATAGTTGTACGCCTGACCATTAAGAGCCAAACGTTGTCGGCTAATCCCAAAATGAGAAGGTTCCTAATATAAATTCAAGGAAATATCGTGAATAAATGTGGCAACACTGTCATATCTGCATATAAATTTGATTGATTAATAAACATAAGGAAATTCTGAAATAAAATTGTCAACTATGCGGAACAAGCGAGGTGTGCAAGTAGTTCGGTACGCAGAATAGTACCTCGACATCAGCGACATCACCCTTTGACATTGGAAGATTTCAGAAAACAATAATAAATTCATCTGACTATAAAAGAAATACATAGTCCAATAGGTGAGTAATAATATTTATGCAACACATATAGTTTTTAATTCAGAAGTTGATATCAATTTATAGATGTACACTTATTTATTTATTTATTTATTTTTAGCTCCGGAGTGACAAACCGGATTGTTGTTGGGATGTAAACAAATCCCTGAGGCGAAAATTTCGAGATTGAATTGATTTCTTGACTGTGGAAGATCTAGCATGGGATGGATGCAACGAGTTATTTATGAAAATATGTGGAGATGAATACTAAAATTATTACTCATGGTGAACCAGGGAAATTACTAGGCAACACAAGAAGAAATTGTCCATATCAGGGTGAGTAAATTCTTCAATTAATTACCTGAATGCAGGAGAATTGACTACACATTTATAACTTAGTGGTAGAAACTGTAAAGATGATCAAAATGGAGTGCGATTGCTGTACGTTAAATTAATAATTGAAATTTTTGGATTATAAAATAGATCAGGATGGATTTAATTGATTGAGAAATATTTGGTTTCATTCCCAAATTGTTCAGTGACATGGAAGATGCTGACTACTATATACAGGCAGCCAAACGACTACAGAAGAACACGGATACAAATTAAAAATTATAGTTATTCCGTGTATTCATGTGTTATGTTTGTTATTTCAAATAAACATGATAATAGGTAAATGTCTGCATGTTATTTATTTGGTTATGAATTACGTGAGGAAAATATAGCTAAATACACCGTTAAAAACAAGCCCTATCTTGGGAAATGGCCAATGAGCCGGTCTAGTCATCTTTGTCAATAAATTGATTTAATAATATGCTATGAATAAAAATAATATGCTACGGAGATTATCAGATTAGATTATCGGCTTTTGTTTCTTCCTTCTCAAGTTCTTGCTGCATTACTTCAAATTAAACCTGTGCAACAACAACAACAACAAAAAAATATATGATTCATCAGCAATAAAAGGCAACTGTTTACACCTGACTCGCAGCTGGATTGTTAATTAAAAATAAGCAAAGAAGACATTTCAACAGATCCTAAATAACATTAGAGACTCCTTTAAATACAGTTCTAGACGAGTCTTCAATTTGTCTTAAACCATATGAAAAAAATTCATTACAGCTTGGAATCATGAGGATGAAATTCATAATATTTTGTACGTTAAATCATTGGCCCACGTGTTCTTCACGTACAGCTATTGATACAGTCACAAAAAAACGTTCTCATCTGTTAGCTCGACCCCGATTTGTATTTCTTTTCTTCCGTTCAAATCTATCACTGTTTGTCATCAATATTCAAGGAAGTAGATCGTTAAACACAAGGCAAACTTCGTGAATAAGAAAAACAGTCTCCTGTCGACTCCGATAATTCGTAATTGCCAGCTAAACAGCTAAGTGAAAAACAAGCAAGTTAGAGACATTAAGGAAGCTTAGAACAACTTAGCAACCCTCAAAGAATACCAGACACTGCCTCCAATGCAGTAGCAACAGCAGTAGCAGGACAGTCTTTTGTTTTATCTTCTCGGAAAGTCATTAGAGACGGTTTGCAACCAAAAAGTTCGCAAGCACTTTCAGTTTGTTGGAGGACCGGCATTGTTTCAGCTATTAATTTAGCCATAATACAGAGGGATTTGCGATTGTAAATTACGAGAATGCACCGGTTCCTAGGATGCGCCATTGTTGAAATAAAAGGCAAGTTTCAGACGGTACTTGAGAAAACAGTGCGGTATCAATCATTCTCTCTAAAGTGGTTACAATGGACAGGTTCTTCAGGAGAATTAGAATTTTAAATTCTAAACCGAAGGGACTTTCTAATTGGTTATAATTGCATTATAAAGATAAAAATTATTTATTTATTTATTTACCAGTAGATAGACTATCCGAACGGTTTATTACACCATTTAACGGATAGGGACACAGAAATCAATTTTAAGAAAAAATTGTCCTAAAATAATTTAAAATTGCCAAATACCTTAACCTACTGTTATGTAAAATCTTTTTAAGCTACGCAAATTACAAAAGACAAATCTACAGCGTTTCTTGGACGTTCATAGTTGTTACATACTATAGTAAGTGACATATAAATCCGAACACCCAGTTTAAATGGTATTATTTTAACAAAATTTTGTATAAGTACTTAATGAAGCATAATAAGTAAACGTTGGTTCTTTACTACTGCGGCTGAAATATTCATTTTTAGAGCGTTAGTGAATTAAAAAAAAGCAGTATAAAAACCGGAATGTCCAACTGATAAGGCTGAAAATTTTTTCACTTGTTATTTACAGTAAGATAAATACATTCACCAACTTTTATTAAATAAAACCATTGAAACTGGGTGTTCGGATTTATATGTCACTTAGTATAATTATTTAAATAGTTTTTGACGCAATTTTGGGCTTGGCAACATCCAAATTCATTAAATAGATCTAATTTGAACAAGAATATGCAATATGAATTGAAATATTGTCTGAGCAGATACAAAGATAGTTCCGGGACTAATTATAAAGACACAATTTCAGGCACAGCCAAAACATCAATAAAGATTATTTTGGAACATCTTTACGATTCAGTCAGAATAAACATTGCTCTGCCAGTGCTCTAAAACAAACGAAGATCCACCAAGATATGTCCCATGGGGTAACGAGAACGTGAAGGGTAAAAGTAGAGGGTATAGATGAACAGGGGAGCTGCACCACTTCGTATTAGGGAAGTTAAATATGTTTTTTAACGATAATGGCCGAGATGGCGGAGATTCATTTTTAGAGAGTGAAACGTGTTTGCACAGAAACTAATTTGAAATTCTGATATGGCACAGATAGAGATGGAATTGGCAATTTGTAATAAAAGCGTTATACTCGCAGCACGGGGACGCTTCGCAAACAATGATTCACCAACGAAAATTTAGTAAGGGTTATGTGGATATTTTCCTGTATCTAATGGGTGATTGTTTTGCTAGTATTTTTTTGGCAACACTGTTTTTGACAGATGACGCGTGAATCGTGTTTTGTGTCATTGTCAGACTTGTTCAGTTTGGTCTATAATTTAACCATGAATCGACTTACGAACGAACAACGCTTGCAAATTATTGAATTTTACTATCAAAATTCACGCTCGGTTAAGAGAGTGCAATCGAGCACTGCTTCCAATTTATGGGCAATTTGGTCGGGCCCTACTGAGGAAGCTATTCGGAAGCTTGTGACTAAGTTTCGAACCCAGCTTACATTATTGGACATTAAACCACGAAACGCAGACGTGGAGTGAGGACTGAAGAAAATATTGCGGCTGTATCCGCCCAGTGTTAGTGATGACCGGAAATGTCGATTCGCCGCCGTTCGCAGAAATTGGGCCTCTGTTACTCCACTACGTGGAAAATTTTGCGACAGGATTTGGGTGTAAACCATATAAGATGCAGCTGGTGCAAGAATTGAAGCCACACGACCTCCCACAACGTTTCCAATTTGGTGAATGGCGCTGGCAAAGTTGGAGGAAGATCCACATACATGCAATTAAACGGTTTTTGTTTATTTTTTCCGAAAACGAAGTTAGATAAGAAAAAAAAACAAGAGACAAAGAAGCTGTATTTATGATGCTTAATCAAACAGCAAATATTAAAGTTCCAAAAAGGCAGAGACATAAATTTTGTGCCAATAATATTTGCTAAGGTGTCCCATGGGACGCCACAGGACCTAATAATTTGAATCTATTTAGGTCGGAATTAGCCTATTAATACAACAAATAATATTGCCAAATTTTAGCAGAACCAAGTAAATATTTTCTAAGATAATAATGAAAAAAATTCAAATCTATCAACCTGTTATGTTGAAAACCCTGCATTTACGGACCAATGTTCAAAAACTTTTTATCATATCTTTTAACAAGCAAAATATCTCCATCTGTTTTTCTAACACCTCGTATTACTTTGTTTATTATCTTACTGTGTTCTCACCAGTAATTGATATATCCATTGATGATGTATAAATAAATAATGCCAGAGGTGTCACTTATGCTTGTCCCTGCTTTATACTTAGCTTCACTCCCTCTGTTCGTTTGATTCCCCAAGGGAAGCCGTAAACCTCTACCTGTGTCACAGACTGCGGAACGTTTGACCACTTTATTTTCGGAAACCAAACATTCGTTAGCGGTGCCTTCCTTTGGTCGGAATAATCCAGCCTGTCATAAAGTTTATAAATCTATGCGGTTTGGCGCCATAGTATTTCATAACGACCGAGAGCAGGGGGGAAAGGCCAATTTATGGAAGGTTGGGTCGTGTTGAATCGAAATCAGGGACAGGAGCTAAGTAGAAAAGGAGACTAGGAAACAGATTCCATCATACAGTTTCCTTTTAAGTTATGTTTAACATAGTGACACAAAAATCCTGAAACAACTCTGTATTTTTTCGGGTAAGGTATTTTTGGGAAATACCAAGGTCAGGTCAAGAATTGAACGGTGGTCCTTGAATCTAACCTGACATTCACCTTCAAGGTTAATTCATGCTCAATTTTGTTTTATCAAATATAAACGTAAAATGTGTATGTTCAACACATTAGAGACCAAGGTCAGGTTGCCTACTAAAGTCAAATGAAGATCAGATTTGTGCTGATAGGAAAACTTGTTTATAAAAAATCCCTATTTTTCATGCCGGCAAATCGAAAGAACGGAAAATTTCAAGTTCAAATAGGAATTGAGCAAGGTCGTAGTGACCACTAAAGGTCAAATGGGGGTCAAATGT